CATCTGGCCGGTTCGTGCGAACAGCAGCAGTGCCGCAACAACCGGGGGTGCGTTGCATGTGTCAAATACACGGGCCTAACGATAAAATTGAAAAATATGTAGAAAGAAAAAATAAAACCGTTTCTCGTACGATCGTTATTAATGGGATTAAGCAAATAATTGGTTTTTTTTTTTTTGTACACATTATCGTATGTCAGAACCAAAATGAAAATAGTTTGGTTACAATTGATCAAATGTACTGTATTCCTGTAGCGTCCGAACTCGAAGTGGTAGGGCGTTTGTTTTATTTAAACGTGGGCCCCTATCGAGTGTAGTTTGCGCCACTGGCCCCGAAACCGCCGGAACGCAAGTGAACCGTTGTCGTTCTTCGCGGAGCCGAATAAGTTTTTCCGATGGGGTTTTCGGCGAAAAGTTTTGGATTTCAGATGACGCTGAGAGTGGGAAGAGGTCAATGCGATAGGGGAATTAGCCCAATTCCACCGAAGCTTTTGTTTGGTACAGTTTTGCAAAAGCTACGATTACAAGTTAAATTCCATTACCACAACAACTCACCCATCGTGCGTTCCAACCGTACCCGGTATCCGATTCTGTAATTACTGTAGAAACCGTTTCTGTCATCAATTACACGTGTGTGCAAATCATGAAATCATAAATAATAAAGAAAAACCTATTGTATATATATATTATACTATATATTTATATATTACTATATTGATTATAAATATTTATAATCAATGATATTACCTACAATAATTGTATAGTTAATTAATTAATTCCTATGTCATTGATGAATTGACGATTTATCTATATAGTACGTTAGTAGGTACTGTATTAAGTACTTATACTATTGTACATATCATATTCATTATATATATATATATACATATAAATATATGTATAATATTGTATTGATTATTTTTATATGAATTATTTTTAATTAAGTTAAATAGTATATTAAACTATAACTTGAATAGTTTTTAGGAAATAATCGAAGTCTAGACTAATATACACCATACATATTAGATGGTATAGGTACTAATAGCGCATATTTGATAAGTCAATTGAAAATACCGCTGAGCGGTGGCGGTGAAATCGATCATGCTGCGGTTTTTAAAACATCACAGCGGAAATATTTTACCGCGGCCGAATTACCGCAGCAGTGTGCGGACTCCCTTTACAATACGTGTGTACAAATTTAACGCCACCGCCACTGCCACCGCGGCAGTGTGTGGGGACCTTAATGCGATTAAAATTTATTGTTATTCATTACGCGATTTTAATGTAATCGACCGGATTCGCTCGATTCACATTAACGGTCTCAGTTCGGTCCGATCGCGATCCAGTGTCATAATCCGGTAGCACGTGATCCGATTTTTTGGCGCACACTATCGGGCGCTGTCAGGTCATGGACCAGTCACGATCGGGTCATGACCGGTCGACGCGCGATCCAGACCGCGACGGTCGCGAGCTTTTGGTTGACATCACAACAAGACAACAGCGCCTGGTGGCGACGGTGAAACGTACAAGATTTGATTGTCCGTGACCGACAATGCGAATAATTCTTGACCGTGACCCAACCGAGACCGCTTATGCGAATCTAGTCTATGGGGATGTCAACAACGACCAAGGGTATGATATTTAAAATATCGATATAAAAACCACCACCATCGATTACGATAAATATCATGATCTTAGAATCGATAAAAATCGATATTAGTACATACATCGATAAATAAAAATCTAAGAAAACCGAAAATATGCAAAAAACTACGCAGCTATACAGGAGTATGATGCAGTGTTTCTAAAACGAAAACGATATACGCAATAAGCAACGGTCTGCGTCAAAAACAAAACGAAGGCGGCCGTCGGCAGGTCGGAGTCCGGCTGTAATAAAAATGTACTAAAAGGCATACACGCGACCTTCGGCTACAGGATTATTTTTTTACACGTGATTTTATCGAAAGAAAAATAAAAACCGTCCACAATAAAACCGTGATCACTGTTTTAAACGCGGATGCCATGATTATGTACAATATCGATCGATTGGTGTCCATTACAAAAACCTTCGAACATATGCCATTACTTTGTCCAAAATTAAATGTATCGTGTCTAAAACAAGGTAAGTATTTATACTCGTTTATCAATAGTCGTTGTGATCGTATCGATTCGTGTTCAAATCATAAAACTAGGTAAGTATAAAATATATTACACAGTCAATAATTTTTTTTTTTTAATTTAAATTTTGTCTACAGGTGCTTAATACCGATAAGCATACCCTTAATTTCGCTTGTTGTAAAGTTTTCCTTATCTCAATTATTTTTCATTTCGTGTTCGCAATCAAGAAAATTCAAATACAATGCAATAAAATTAATTAAAATTCCGTAAAAGTATAAAATCTATGTCGTCAACCGGTTATTATTTGAATGATATCATGTATTCTCTACGGCAACGGTTCCCAAACTGTGCACCGTGGTGCCCTAGGGGCACCGCGACCACCACTTTCTAAGGGCACAGCGGTCTACGGTACTTAACAAAAAGTTTAAAATGTATGAAATTGTTTTTCCTTATCGTTTTTGTAAAAACTATAGCAAATAATGTAATATTTTCTATTGTATATTCGGATACTCTCATTTTAACCTTATAATATTTTTATATAATAATTATAATCGTAATAACAATAATTTTTATTTATCTTTTAAGTTTAAAAATGTATTGATCATAGAAATTATTATTTGTCCAATTAAAAAATAATAATAAATAACGTAAACAATGATAAAATGAAACATTTCGTAGCTAAAGTCCTTCAAAGATTGTAACAGAAGAAGAATAAAATAATAAATTAGAACATCCTACAAATAGAAGCGATATTGATACTCAAAACAATATCTTTGAAGATTCCTGTTATTTAATTGTTAATCATGTATGTTTGAAACACTATATTAATATGTGTTAAGAGCATGCAGCCCAGCAATAAGATCAATACGTACACTTGTGTATGACACACATTTAAGATAATATAAACTTTTGTCACGTTTTTTTTAACAATATTTTATAATACTATAGAACGTACGAAGAACTATAATTAATTATTATCACTAAATTATTGGAATTGATTTCATGTTCAATTCGAGTATTGCATTGATTTTATCAAATAAAATGTGCAGGTTATAATGCCTATTAGACTAAATTGGTCTAAATCAAATTCGATTAGCAGAGTGGTTTTTTCACATAATATGGAACCGAAGGGTGATAAAATGTTCTAAGGACTTTAATACCAGGTACCATATTACAATTCGATTCGATTCCGATGATGAATACGTACGTGCGCTCCGTTTCAAAATTATAATTGTGGTTATTTTTATATATCTTATACTTAAAAACTTAGGAGTACTGGTTATTCAAATGATTTTAATTTTTCATCAGTTATATTCATTATTAATATTTTTTTAACTTCAAGAATATTTTTCAAGGCAAACGTGAATTGCGCCCAACTAAGGGAAACAATTGTAAATTGCGCCCGGTATTTTTCAGGTATAAATTTTTATATAATAAATTTCGCCCAATAGAAATATTATTTTTATAATAGTCATTTAACTTTACCCCAGGGGCGTATTTAGGGGGGTGATTTAGGTGTTATAATTTTATGGTATTTCACCAAATCGCAAACTTACTCACGGTATAATTTGCCCTACACAAGTACTGGTCTATTAAATTTAAAAAAAAAAACCCCGTTAAATAAATCCTGGATACACCACTGCTTTACCCAGAGGACACCATGAGGAGGCGACTATCACTGTCCTCCAAAAATGGTTTTTTTGTCTTATCAATCATAGCGATAAACGTTCGGCTTATCCACCAATAAATGAACGACAGTATTTTTAAAATACACATAATAGGTAATGATGAATTCAAAGTTAATTAGATAGTAGATACTATGGGCACAATTTACTATACCTATTTTAGAACCAAAAAAATTGCGGGCACAATTTACTATAATGTTTTTACTACTTACTTAATGTGAGCGCAATTTACAAACTCCCATTTTTCATTTAAAAAAATATTAAGAGGACGCTTCACCCACATGGGTTAGCTCTGACCAACAAATATACAACCTAGCAACTTTGCATTCAACAGTTAAAACGCAGTAATGTTAGCTTTAATTTTAGAGTACATTTACCTTTATTAATATTTTAAGGGAAAAACATCCATTGTTCTGTTTGTCGGTTTTTCCAAAATTTTCATTTTTAAGGAAGTTATGAGTAATCCCTTAAAGTATTATTATGTGACAATTTACTCTAACATTAAAGCTAACATCTATGAATTTGATCTACTGAACGCAGATTTTCAATGTTGTATAATTGTTGGTCGGAAACAACACAAGCGGGCGTGGAGTCCTCTTAAAAACAACATGAATAATACGTGATCAATCACGCATAACGCTACCGAAAGAGCTGAAAATGTATTGTTGTTGGTGATTTTTGTTCAAGAAAATCAAGCGAATTTTTTAGTATTACAATACATATTTTCTCGAAGTAAAAAATTTTAAATTAAAAATACTGTATGATATGGTTTCGAGTATTCGAGTATCATCGATATTCAATTTCCTATCTGAAGAAAAAACTTTTATAAAACTCCCGAAAAAAGTATTTACAGAACAACAAAAATAAAGAAGAAGAAGAAAAAGGTCGTTACAAAACCACATCGATTCGCTCAAAATCTTAAACGTATAAATTATTCAACAGCAAGACTGTCATATTTTTTTTCGTTCCAACACAAAGACTTCAAAATATAATAAAACATTACCACTGATTTCTTTTATATTTTCACATCGATTTTACGCATTCCATGTGACATTTTAGACCGTCGAAATTCCAATCCCAATGTACTACCGTACAAACAATTTTATAATAATGATAAAAATAATTTACAGTACAGTTAACAAAGTACTAATAGGTAAAACGTTAATCTATAATAATAGTAATAATAATAATGTGTATTACGTCATGACGCAGTGGGCGGCGGTGATAACGAACTGGTCGTCGATGAGCGCTCCGCCGCAGAAGAACAGCCCATTCAGAGCTATGGCCACCTGCCACGTGTGTTCGCCTATGGCCGCGTCGGTGCCGCCGATAATTCTTCGATTCTCGCCGCCACTGGTACTGCCGCCGCCGCCACTGCCGCCGCTGTCTAGGAACTCTGGTCGCTGTTCTTTGGCCGGTGTCCGGCGACGATGGCCGCCACGAACGTTCAACGCTGTGGTTGGCGGTGCCGAGCGGCTCCACCGTCCCAGTACCGCAGCCGTATGGTGTTCGACGGACTTCTGGTGTCCACGCAGCCGTCGCCTATCCGGACCGGTGCGGCCGTCACAGTGGCCGGTGCCCGACGACGGCGTCAGGTGCGGCGACGGCGGCTCGTCGAAGCGGCCGTCGTTCAACGGCTGTTCGATGGACGACTTGCCGCAGTCCGGCGACTCTGAAACGCGAACGATTTGATAAATCACCGGCTCGAGTGTCTAGCGAATAATGGGCAGATACGTTGGATTCGGGTCGTTTCGGTAAACAGTTAAAAAGATACCCGTGGCGTATCGGGGATATAAAAGTTGCAGGGCCGACGAACGCGCGGAATTTCCCAGACTTGGGTTGTTTATTTTTTATGTTGCATATGAGTGAAATTTGTATTTTTTACAATTTTGTTTTAAAAAAATAATCCATAAATAAATGAAAAAATAATAAATAAATAACACGTCTTAAGAATAACTTGTGCGGCAGTGGTGTATTTGAGATAATTGTTTAGGGGACGGGAGCAAAATATATTATACGTATGTTATAACGTCAGGTACATGTCTTAACTTGTAGGTACAACAATTTAAACCCAGTAAGTAAAAAAATCCTAATTTTTTTTTTTGAAATTCAGATTTTTTAGTCTAAAATCCGAAATCTTGAATTTTTTTTAATTTCCGGAGAATCCGTATTTAAGTTATATCCACTAGCTTTTATAGAACAAAGTATTGTATATATACTTTTATTATACGTAGCTATTACGATTCTTTATAATTTATCGTGATATAACAAAAGTTTAATATTGTTTAAGAGTTAATTTATGTAACGATTGTGAATACACGTCACAAAAAAAAAAAAAATGAATTGTTTTACTGGCAAAAAATTTAATGTTTCAAAGGAACCTTGCCTTCTTTGCCCCTAAACAGTCACCCGATTTTTGTGTAGTTAAAACATTCCACTCGACCGGGCTTATATACTCAAATGAGTTGTTTTGTTTGCATTTATTTTTTATTTTTTCAATACTTACACCATTTTTTTACGAAATTCTAACTTCTTAGTTTTTATTTCTGACGTAAATCACATTTAAAAAACCATAAGTATTTCAATAATGGCCTTGGAATATGAAAACGGTTTTTTAGGCGTGCGGTGGTGTAATCCGATAAGATTACCATAATTAATTACATAAAAAAAAAAATTGTCATTATATTGGTCACTTGGCCGTCTTCGTCAGATGAATATAATAATATAATGACGGTTTAAAATTATTACTCAACTTCATTAATATTGTATATGAATATTAAATATGTAATCCTGTGAAAATCATTATTAAATACCATTAAATTACTATATGTAATGACTACGTATGACGACGTATGTGTGTACACATGCACATTGTCATTAAATCACGGGGTAGCTAAAGACAAGTTGATAAATTAGGGTAGTTTACTTTAATTCCAGCATCACTTCGTGGCGGTTCAACGGAGGTTATTCAAAACCTAAAGTTTATAGTGAGTAGTTATAAGTGAAATCCGTTGTTTTGATCACTAATGGGGATGCTTTTTAATTTCCCCGCGTAACTTATTTGATGCCCTAAAGTGCCATAGTAACTATTGTCAACTGGTCTCTCAATTTTGTAAGATATGCCAATATTTAAATAGATTTTGTTTAGGTATATACATTTTCACGAGATTGTTCAACTACTAGTATTTCACAAATCAATCAATGAAAATTTTAAAAATTTTAAAATTAACACTTACATTAAGACCATTCTAAACTTATTTATCTTAAGGAATCAAAATTATAAATGGTCTGTTAATAGCCACCCAATTTACAACTTACAACCCACCCTACCCAATAACGTACTTTAACGGGTTGGGAGTTTAACCCCTTCTAAAAATACTTAACCTATTTTATTATTTATTATAACATTTTTGTACTTATATTTTTTAAATAATAATAACTAAATGGGTAGTATTGTAATTTATAGTTAGTTGAATTAATTTACTTATTACTTATATAATAATCCACCACGGCACCACTCACCACCCTAAAAATATGGTCTGGTCATAACCAGACTTGAACCCCAAGTTCAGCGCCACCGAAGGGGATGATTTGTGTTCATAAAGTAAAACAAATTATTTACAGATAAACCATGAACTCGAGAGATCGAATTAGTAAAGAAGCATCGTTAAAAATTAAGCGGTGTCAATTAACGTAGATTTATAGACATAGATATTTTATAAACCGTTTTCTCTTACATTGAAAAAATATTCGACTTATATCGATTATATCAAAAACGATTGTTTTATTGGTCTCTTAGTTTTCGCTCAATTAATTTTATTATAATTTCTTTGAAATTGGAAATCTGCTACCTGTAGATTATACTCTAACTGTACGTGCAAGTTTAGCAACGAAAATATATAATTATTGTAATATGATTTATCATCGAAAAGCTCTGTGATTATGACATTTATGTGAAAATATATTGTTTGGAAAATGTTTCGTATCTATTCATTTAGTGGTTGCATTTTAATAACTAATTCTTAATTTTGATCTCTCAATACAAATAATGGAATACTTATTGTTATAGTATATATGATTTAATGACAATAAAAACAATGTATAGTATTTAATTAACTTTACTTGTATTCAATTTACCTTAGTTAATAATTCCTTATATTTATTATGATATTATAACATTAAAATTATTTTAAATTTGAATATGATCTATTTTTAGTGCACTTGTGGCCGGGTACTTCTATTATTGTTAACGGTACATACCAAGTTAGTGATATGTTATCGCATTATTTTAGCACAAATTGCATTTATACTTAAAATCAGACGTTTTGCGACAAAAAACCGATCATAGATACAGTCCGATTACATTTCAAAATTATACTAAATATGTATTATGTAAAACATAAAATGTTTCCAAATATATATTTAGTCAATATGTTATTATGTCATTATTTCTTATTTTTTCATACGGATAACTAACGGGTCCAGGAATAAGTTTTAAAAAATTTAAGGAAAAATGAAAAATAAGTCAATAGAATACCATGAACCAAAAAATAAATTAAATGGGACTAGATTATCGGAAAAACTTTCGAATAAAAAAATTAGTTGGATATCAAATAATCCTAATAAAAAATGAAATTTTGCAAAATAAAGTTTTAATAAACTCAAATCACAATTTCATTCGTAACATGACAGTACCTATTGCATTAGAATAAGCTTGTAACAAGTTATAATTTATGCAATATGCGTTCAATAAATTCTGCATATTATAACTTTTAAGTTGGTGCATTTTTAAAAATGAACCCATGGGTTTTTAACACGATTATTGGTCTGAATTTATTTTATTATTCTTTCAGCGATTCTTAATTTTTTATTAGACAAGTAACATTTTATCAACCAGTGAATTAGTATGAAAATAACGCAACAGAAACTGTCAGAAATTGTATTTTAAATGTATTCATGATTGTAATGAATACAATATACAAAGAGATGGAATATAAAGTAAATACTTAAAACGTTAATCGGATTATTTGTATCTTACAATACTCGTAATAAATTATTATACAAATACATATTTTTCGATTTCTAGGTATGACACGCGTTTGGAACAAATTTAATGGATATCGAGAATGTCTTGCTATACATTATTATCTCACAAATATTAATTATAATAATATGCCTATAGCTTGACAAATGCGAATTTGACAAAATACGCTAAAGGCGATGAGTCTCTATTACAGCAGCTGCGTTTCTCTAACTACGAATAGAGTGTATATAATAAAGCAATGTATTGTTTGAAGGAATGACGACGGAATGGAATGAGTTATGCGAATAAAATTTTTATCGAATAAACAATTTAAACGACCGTTTATTTGAATACTTTTTATCGCCTGGAATAAATTATCCGAAAAAGAATAATTTGTCCGACTATGCATTATGACGGTCTTGCGGCGGAATTATGTATAGAGGTATAGTCTTAAAACCATTATGGTGGTTCAACAGGGTGTGCACTGATAAGTCTTCAGATCAATTATTGTTTGTATGTCTATAAACTACAAGGACATCTATCTTAGATAAATAAATCAAAAATATATATTCAGCAGAAATTTAAAATCCAAATGTCAGTAAATATAAATTTAAAAAAGTCTGTATAGGAGCTAAAAATACGCCGAAGCCAAGACTATTATCTTATTACCCTCAGATTTTATGCTATGGTTACCATGTATAAGCTACATCATAGGATATATTTTTCCTTATGTAAATATATATTATATTTTCACATATAGTCATGCAAGTAAATTATGGATTGTATTAAAATGCACGAACTGTCGCAAGTGTGATAATAGTATTATAGTTAAAATACAATAAAGCAACTGGCATATCAAAATCTAATTAACTCCTGACAGCAATTTCTTAGAATGTAATAATGCCAATGATTGTTTGAAGTCCTGAATACGGTTTAAAATATATCTCTGACTTTTTGTGCAGCTCATTTTTTTTATGAAGGTAAAAGGGATAAACATTTATGTAGCTCTCTTATATAATTTTTACACAAAATTATTTAAATTCAACTTATAATACAGTATGTAATTAATTATCATTATTTATTATATAATTTTAAAAATAATGCACCTTTTTTCTGAATACGAGTACGTGAACAAATGCTACTTCTATGAATGCACCTTTATAATTATTATCACATTATTTTTTATGCATGCAATCATATTCACCAACGTTAACAACTGGTTTCTGGTCTACTATTGACTAAAAACTATATTTAGTAACGCAAATTATAATTTTTTATTTAATAATTTGTGTTTCTATGATGGAATATAAAAACTTATAATTAAGCTCGAGAAAATTAGGTATTAATCATTTTTCGTTTTTTACAGAGTGCGCGAAGTCTGTTTTATAAGTAAGAAATAGTGGATATGGCTATCACGATGTATTAGTTGAATAAAGTTTAATATTTTTTTATAATTTTCAACTAAAAATTAATTTTTTTCAAAAACTATTTCAAAGTCCTAGTCGGCTATATTATATTTTCTCGCTTATTTGATATAAAAACTTGAATTAAGTTTTGCAATAACATTATAAAAACATCAATAAAATAATATTCGTTTGTTATACGCATATATTAATGTTACTTCAATCTCTAAGACGTTTTTGCAAAGT